GTAAACCAAGTAATTGCACATCATGCTGAGTAATTTATGAATCCCTTAAAAATCCTCTGAAATATTTAAGCAAATACTAAAGCTAAACATATGCTGATACTGATATATTTCAGTTATAAACATCACGGCCAACCTCAGGTCTGAGTTCCATGTTCCAATGTGGTGTTTAGGGACAGCTGCTGCAAAAATAAAATGACATGTATATTTGCTGACATGACATGCTGTAGTAGTGTAAATCCAGGTTCTTCTTCAATGCCATTTGATCAGTATAGATTTACAAACGTCAGATGCCTCACGATCCAAAATCTTCATTCTCCAATAACCTAATTTATATCTGAATCTTATTAACATTCCCCAAAGTTGTATATAGTCAAAAACAACGATCAAATCCAAATGCTATTTTGCTGCTTTCAAACCCTGTTCTTACTAAGCATAGATAACTGCTGCATCTTATCACTGTAGGAATTCCAGCAGTAAAGATAAAAGATAAAGGGAATACATTTGTAAATCATCTTTTATAGAGGCTGAGAGATGCAAACCAACTGTATGACTTCACCACAGCTTTTTTCAGATGAAAGACAAGGCAATAGAAATCAATAGCGGAATTTTTTTTTAAAAAGCCAGACATTCTTTCTCATTCTGCACATCTTGTTTAAGAAGTAATTCAATGACTGTATTGTTAAAAATAAATACAGTATATGTATTTTTAATTATGGGACTTTATGTGGGCAGTGTCTCAGGGCAGTGCTATCTTGTGACTGATGAAAATTACAGTGCACTATTTGCTGATTCAGCTGTTCAGCTGAAGTTAAATCACTTGACCTCCTTATGCATCAGTTTCTATTGGTAGTAACAAGGGAAAGGCAACTGCTCTGATTGTGAGAAGATTCATCAGCATCTCTTTGACTCTGCCTCTAGGGATGTGGAAAAAAAACAAATCTTTTCTTTTACATTATTTATTATTTCTGCACCTTGAAAAGCACAACGGTCCTGACCTTCACAAATAAAATGGTTGATTCTAAGAGATAATTTATGGGCAATTATCATATGGTCCCTTCTGTTTCATTTTCATTCCATTGTCTGACATCTGTAAGGTTTCTTTTCCAAAATCATACAGATAAATCTCTTATGAATAAGTCTATAAAGGTATTTGTATACTGAAAGCCATTAAAACATCCATCAATAGATTTTCTAACTGCTTTGTCCAAGACAAGGTTATAGAGGAGCTGGAGCATATCCCAACAAGCAACGGGCACAAGGCATGATGCACCCTGAATGGAGAATGTACAAACAGGCATGCACACACTCATACCAGGGCCAATTTTCCTAGAAGTCAATTAACCTACCAGTACGCCATTGGACTGTGGGAAGAAAATGAAACAGCCAGAAAGAAATCCACATGAACATGGAGAGAACATACAAACTCCATGCATACACCACCCCAGGAACTGAACCCAGAGCCCCAGTGCTAACGACTTGCAATGCCAACCACTGCACTACTGTGCCTGCTCCATTAAAAACATAAAACAAAATATAGTTTTAAACAAAAAAAAAACCCTTTCCACTGATTTCACTATCCTTGACTGGCACTACGTCTTTTGGATGAGACGTAAAACTAAGGTCCTGACTCTCTGTGGTCATTAATAATCCCAGGGCGTTTCTTGAAAAGAGTAGGGGTGTAACCCCAGCGTCCGGGCCAAATTTCCCATTGGCCCTTACCAATCATGGCCTCCTAAAAATTCCCCTCTATGAATTGGCTTCATTACTCTGCTCTCCTCCCCACTGATAGCTGGTGTGTGGGGAGCGTTCTGGCGCACTATGGCTGTCGTCGCATCATGCAGGTGGATGCTGCACATTGGTGGTGGTGGAGGGGATCCCCATTACCTGTAAAGAGCTTTGAGTGGAGTGTCCAGAAAAAGCGCTATATAAGTGTAAGCAATTATTATTATTATTATTATTATTATTACTACTAAATTTTAATGTGTAAACATGTCTGGATCATGTGTTAATCTTTGTTGGTCAGGTTGGACAAGAGGTGGAATAAATTGGGCAAGGAAAGCTCAGTTTACATTATGGACAAAAGAGTCCATAATCTTCTCATGTGCCGCTATGGGAAAAACAACAAGCTGTTCTCACTAAACTTTGCTGGGGTTAATGAGTGAGAGACCCTAAAGTGTGAATCCATGACATGCTTCTGCACTTTGTAGAAGATTAAGCCCAATCCAAACGGACATACTGCTCCATTCTCTCTAGTCTAGACTGTCATCCGAGACACAGAGTTTCAAGACGCACCTCACTTTTTAATATCTGCAGACTTAAAAATCACCGGGATTTGTTTTCTTTGCTGCTGCTGCATTTGATAATGATTCTCACCAGGTTCTATTTGTGGTTTTTACACTTCACTGCCAGAAATAAAAATGATATCAGGTGTGCTACGTGTGAAAGCTTCAGGACATGAATTGCTTTTTGCCATTCATTCACTAGTACTTAGGAAAAAAAATCTTAAATCCCAAACAAGTAACTAGGTCTTCTTTAAAAAATGCTAAGCTTAAATAGAAGGTGATATAACATCTAACGCCTATTATATATTTTTACAGAGGAAATGCTTTTCTGTATGGAAGCAGCAATGATCTTCCCCTATGTATTGGCAAAGACAAGCAAGTTCAACTGATTTCCATAACTGATGAATGCATCAATGCATTCTCATGGAAAGAAGAGTGTGCTGGAGTGGATTTCTCATTAAACATTTCTGTCTCAAGTCGACTATGATATTCTCAGTGATCCCAAGGTAGGCTGAAATTTCCCCCCTCCAGCATTACATATTTACAGCGTAGTCGTATATCGCCAGAATAAGGCAGTAAACGGATAAGCATAACAAAGTTAGAATGAGTGGAGTTTCAAACTTCACTGTGACGTGATTGCTGAACTGCGTGACCCCATCTATCTCCCCAATATCTCTTATTAAAACAGTTGTAAAACTGAATGATATACATGTCACACACAAGGGGGTGTGTGTGGAAGGTAGTGCAGATGTTAAAAGTCTCAAAGGCCATGTGACTCATTCAAAACAAAGATAAGTAACTGAAGCCTTTTGAAACTTCAGTGCTGGTCTTTCATTTCTCTCAGGGCACGAGCCCATACATGTGAGCAGAGTGGGACAACTGATAAACACGCAATGCGGACACAGAAGGAGTTACGGTGCTTTGAAACAGTGGTATGTGTATAAAAGATGTTGTGCTGAAAACCAGACGTTGGTTTTGACTAGAGTGTTGTTTTAACTGTAAAGGTTGGAAAGAAAGAAGCAATTTATCATGCATATGGTAAACGGGTAACTATATACACAGAGCACGGCCCATGCAATCCCTTTTCTAGAAAGCTTTCTAACCAATTGCAACACTAAAAGCTTTACCATCAAGTGCGATGTGGACTATACAGGCGGCAGTTTATAGATAAGCAATCTATTCCCTTTTTCTGTGTACATCTGTGCCAAGGGAATATAAAGCACTTTGTGTATAGAGCTTTTTCTACTTAATAGAGAGGCGTATCACCTGTTATATATATACACTCGCACTTAGAGGGTTTTCTCTTGCTAACCATGGCTAATAATATAGTTCAGTAAAAATGTTACAGGACACATAACAATGTTAACTAAAAATAATTTGAATTCTCAGCAAATTTTTTAACAACCAGCCATATCAAACATTTATTGCAGAATTGTATTGCCTCTATCAAACTGGGAATTCTTACCGCTGTTAACTGTTTTGTTTTGGTTCAAGGCAGACATTGTAATTATTCCTTCAATTCTAATAGTAAGATCTCACAATTCATTTTTATTTACACAGACAACAAACACTCACACCTGTGGTGCTGCTGTGAGAAATGAAGACATAGGTATAGTACTACAGAAAAGTGTTGGCTGTTAGAATACATTTGATTATGGACAAATATGGTTTCTGAACACCCTTTATATAGGCACACCATTTTCAATGTTTAACAGACTTTTGGTTAGAAGCAAAGAAGGCAGAGACACGCATCTGACTTATACATTAAGAGTGAATCTTATCCTCTGGACTAGTCTGTTAACTGGGTTTGTACTGTCAAACGTTCTGAACAAGAACTAGTCTAAAAAGCTTTAGAAACGCACAGAGAAATGTTTAGACATTGTGGTAAATATTTTTTTAAATGTTAACTAAGATACATGGATGTGAATATGAAAAATACATCCTCAATTATTAATCTGCAATGTGTCATAGATGACCATCTGAGTGCCGTTTTAATAGGCTAATTATATTGACAGGTTTTCCCACTGCATCTCAGTATAATTTGTAGCTTTACTTAACAGTAAAAGAAGATATACAATCTTGTGTGAGAAAAAAAATGATTTACATTTAAATACTGTATTTAACTGAGTAACGTCAATGCATTCTAAAATACATTTAAATGCATTTTTTAAATAAAGATACGATACAAAATCGTGAGCGCGATTCTCTTTGTTAGCCTTTACATTTTTAACACTTATACACTCCTCTGGACAAGAACGGGTAACGGTTACTGCAGTTAATAATCACTAATCAGAGCTTTAGAAGCCAATATGACACATGACTAACGTCATCTGTTCCTATCACTGGCGAACTATTAACCGTTTCGGAAAAAGTCCGTTCCAACCCAGGTTTCGTCGTGCATAAATTTCCCAGCAGATAGCAGAAGTTGGAATGCTGTCCAATATTTTCGGCTCTGCGTGCAAAATCACAGAAAGAGAACGCCGAATAAATCTGTACTCCACAAACCACCTCCGAGCCTGGAGTTAACAACTTCTCTTTTTCAAGAAAGGCCAGTGACACGCCAAACTGAGCAGAACAGACTAAAGACGCTCCAAAGCGAGCAATAAATTGCGTGAAAAGAAACACGAAAGCACTCAACAGTTATTAGTTTACGTTTGATTGGCTCTTCCAACAAAAATATCTGAATACAACCAGAAATAAATCAGATTAAAATGATACCTTGTCATCTTGTAAATGAAGACTTCGTGTTCAAATACTAATCTTTTGTTGATCATGTTTTAAAAACAGTATTATAAATCATACGCCCCCCGCAATACAACAATTTCTTATGACATATGCACTTCTGATCTAAAATGAATAAATAAAACACTTTACATTGATAAAGAGCAATACACCTTTGGGTTTATAACCTCATAATATATATACACAATATTCTTGAACGCGTCATTACTTTTTCGTTTAAAATTCTAGATTCATTTTACAGTTGCTAGGAGCAATATGAAGGCTTACTACTAAATAGAAAAACACCCAAATTGAGTACAATAAACGGAAACAAGGTTGTTTTTATGTGCTGCTTCAAGCCCCAAATTACCATTCATTTAATTTTAGCTCCTACGCGGCACGAATACGCAGATAATAAAACACGAAACGCGGGCGGAATATGAAATTGAAAAATAGACTGTTTCAGAAACATCATAAAACAGGACATTTCCATTACCGTACGATATCTGCACTCGTGGCAAGTTACTTATAAAAAGGGGGACCGCTGCTCCATTCAATTCCCTGCCCTCTCCATAGATCCCAGTCTCGGCGTGTTTGAGCAGAACCCCGGGCGCTGCTCTGCTCGGCTCGGCTCGGCTGTGGAGCCGGCGTACACTGCTCTCCCTGTTTCTTTTAATCACACTCATGCGCCAACACAATATTTTATATAATATTTAATTACAAGTAGGCGATAATAACAACAACATTTTTAGGAAACGGACTCGTCAGTATTTGTAACACTTTATAAAACATTTATTTTAGGATTTGATCAAATACGCCTCAGCGAGCGGAGAACTAGATGAAAGAGTTTATTCCAGTCGCACAGTTTAGGTTTTACATATAATGTTACTATGCTACATAATCCTATTTCAACTCAAATTTTAAATACGCCACTCTTTCCTATTAAGGGAACCTGACCGGGAAACATTATGATACACCGCCTAGCTTCAGCGGTTGAATGCTGTTTTCGCGTCAGTAAATTATGAAAGGCTGCCGAGAACCACTACCAAAAAGAAAATAGTCATCCCATAGATCATAACGAAATGTAATTTAATTTGTTACAATATTTATAAGGGCGAAAAGCACCACCTAGTGGGACTACCCTCTAAAACAAACAGAAGCGAGAACCCGTGAATTTAAAACTCTTTTAACACACTGGAAAAGCCGCAGCTGTGTTTTTGGACTTATGGAAACCACCCAACAACGAGAGATCCATCACTCCTGGACGCCCTAAGCGCCCAGCAAATTCAAAGAAAACAAATGTGCTTACATATATTATGAAACTGCCACTCTGCAGGTGTAGGACGCCGCAGAAATCAATTTTTTAAAATCCCTTTTTTTCAAAAACCGCTTTTTAACTGCGCAGCTTTGTACATTTTCAGTATTTTTTTTTCCACGGGCTCAGTATAAAAAGCAAATACTCTGCACGAATCAGTACTAATGCATCCTACGCTACATGCACAGAATCACCCTGATGTTTCAACCAAGAACCACGGCTGTAAATTCTAAAGAGCCATCTTGCGCGTTCTGGTCCGTGACCTTGGTGAGGTGCTTACCAAATTCCCTACAGAAACCACTAGCTCATTCTGCATGATAGATCAGTATGACCGAATCAAAGGAGAGAGGAAAAATCGGGTTAATCCCATCAACAGGAAACGAAAATGCACGAATATAATGTAGTTTTCTTTGTCACAGCGCGGCCGACAACTCTTCTTGCAAAAATAACAGCTGTTTTCTTCAGGTCAAAGGCATTTCTGCCTGTGAGCAAACATGCGCAGGACTGATTGAAATGCAACGCCGTTTCGGCTGTTCCGTCTGTAACGCAGTCCACCCCCCGCCCTGTCCTCTTTCCTGGATCTTCCGCAAACAAGTCGATCCTCCCTCTTCAAGCAGCTTCAAATTCTCTCTTGTTCGGGCCGTTTTACACTTAAAGGAGCAGAGCAACGCATTACACGTATACACGAAATCACCAGGCGATAGGCAATTTGACAGATCAGCGAGATACTTTTACAAAGCAGCCGCGGAACATGGATGAGACACTAAGTAAAATGAATTGACAATGGCGCCCAGTTTGCAATAAACATCTCCTAAGAGTAAATACTTGCAGTAGGGTGACTACAGTCCCTCCCAGTCGACAGAGCTATTTGAAATGGGGTGTTCATAAACCTCTTATTACAAAGACAGAAATATTTTCAGATTACTGGACTCAACCCACCTCTTGTTGAATGTCTTTACTGAGACTATGAAGGCATCAAGGTAACTGTGAGGTGAATTCAATAATCTGAGGCTGAATTTACAGATACAGATAAGGAAAAAATCTCCCCGAGAAATATTGTGAACTTGTGAGGTATAAAGAAACCCTTTTTGAACTTCAAGGTAAATGAAGAACTTGAGGCTGTTAAGAATTATGACGGACAGTTTCTCGGGTTTAGAAATTCCCAGAAAAGGATGTCATATATCCAACATTCGTCTCTTTGAAATTCCTTTTTGAAACTGTGTTTTGGATCGATGTTAGCAGTGGTATACTGACTGGAGTTGTTTTAGGCCTGTTTCTCTTCCTGGTCAGTATCAATGATTTAGCTGATGGCAAAAACTACTTACATCTGCTAATGATATAAAACTAGAGGGAAGGGCAGACACAGAAACTGCATCTGAAGGACTTACAAAAATCCTAGACAAAATTACGGACTGGCCAGATTACATATAATTTAAAATTGAACTGCAGATCTATGCGGAAATATAGACTATATCACAGCTGTCAATTAGCTTCCTGTAATTCAGACCCACCAGTGTGTTATACAAGCGTGTTATATACTATAACTATGACACTACTACAACACATTGATGCTCAGAATCACACGAAGCTACAGATGAAAGGGTGCACTGTTCTATGTCGTCAACGATACAATGTGCAGAAGCAATTCAAAAATAATGTTTAAATAGAGAAGAGGTGTGGATTTTTTAAATATAATTTCTACATACTGTGTACAATTTCAGTCACCACATTCGACAAAAGGTATTATAGTCATATAAAGAGGTCAAAGAGGAACCAAAAGAATCGTTCCTGGTCTCAGAGGACTGTCACGCACAACCGTTTTCAAGGAATGAATCTCTTCCTTCAAGAACAAAGGAGAATGAAGGAGATTTGATCCAATTATCGAAAATCCTAAGGGGTATAGAGAGGGCAGCCCAGTGGACTACTTCAGACTAAATAACAAAACAAGGACACAGGATCACAATAGGAAACTTGAAAGGAGTTAGGAAAGAGAAAATGGAAACAGTTCTTTACACAAAGCATTGTGGGTGTTTGGTACAGGTTTCCCAGCCAGGTGGCTAATACCTAAATTCTAGTGTCCATCAAGAAATAGACAAGATTTTGGACTATTCTCCTTTGTGACCTTCCTTATGCTCTTACCATTGTCATATTAGGAGCAGATACCTGGCTAATTTACTCTGAGGTGCACATTTTCTGTGCATAACTGTACATGCAACTTTTCACAGGTTTGTTTGCAAGGCTGTGGTTAAATTAGATTGAAGACGAGAATGGTTATGGACAGAAGGAGTCCATCTGCTCCATCTTGCCAGTGCTCTTGTGGCTTTAGAAAACCTTTTAACCAAACATTTCATCCTGTTTCCTGGATGATCCCATGTCATAATGTCAACAGGCGAATGGTCTTTGAGCAGGTAGGAATCACTTTGAAGACTGGGTGGACACTGACAAATAATCTGTGGGAAGGGTACAGTGCCACAGATTTAAAAGATTTGAATGCAAGTCAGTACAAAAAAAAAAACAACAACTCCATACAAGTTACCCGACACATAACGGAAAATGCAAAATGAAATCAATTTTGTTTACGGCACCGGTGACTACATAGAAATTTTTTGAACAGAATTAAGTCTTTTCAAACTATTCGTTTTTTGTTATGAGCCGGAGTTATTTATTTCTGTATGAAATTCAGTGTAATTAATGTGTTATTTCAAACACTGTTTGTTTTTGTTGTAACAGCAATGTATGTGTTGCTGTCAAGTCTAAAAAGCCACAATGGTTTATGTGGGAGAACCCAAGCTCATATGACATTGGACGTTCTCTTTTTTCTCTTGTTTACAACTGAAGTTTCCCAGACACATGGAGACTGTGTTCAGTGGCTGAGATGACATCACACAATGGAAATTAATAGTTATCAACAGAAGAGCACAGGAGAAATGGGTGATAACTGAAAAAAATATTTTATTTTTTTTAATTTAATTTTAAAACAATTGCATTACAGGCAAAAGAGGCTTCAGTTTTAGGAAAGAATAGGATACGATGAAAACAGATTTTGTTCCATATGAGAGTAAAGCTGGCTGTGGATGACCTACCCTTATTTCTTATTTTGTGCTTGGCTTGGTATAATTCCCATGAATTAGTTATTAATGTCACTTTTAACTCCCTCCTACAGTACATTACATACCCCCCTCACAGAAAGCCTGAGCTTTGTCAATTCTAAAACCTGTCATTTAAAACAAGTAATTACAATAAATAGGTAAAAAGTCATGTTTTGAGCTGTATGTAGTCTGTGTTTCAACTAGATCCCCTTTTTGCTTTTGTTAAAAAAGCAACAACCCCTAGATTATTATTCGGAGATTTACTACATCTCAGACTGTAGGGTTGAAATACTAATTTTACCGGTTAGTTTTATATCCGTATGTCTTCTGTGTGATTTTCTATGAGTATAATAATGGTGAATATTATATGTTGGTGCTCTGTTGTATCATCTCTGTAGCATCTGAAGATCAATTAGCACGAACAGAGAGAGCAAATGTTTTGGCTATTTAAAGTTATGTTAAGAAATAGCAGCTGAACTGCATATGAATGTACTGTGTTGGGATGTACAGATAAAATGCATAAAGAGAACACTATCTTTTAAAATATATGTTGTGTTTTGAATGTCATTTTAATTTACCATTCGTTTCAAATGAACTATAGATCTAGGTCTAGTTTTAGGTCTGTAGGTTTTTTTATAAAAGGGGCATACTGTAAATAAAGTATAACAATTTACATTAAACAGCTTGTTTTGGAAACTGTGAAATGCCAGATGATTTTGATCTGAGCTTTTAGACTGGTGATTATGTGACTGAGACAAGCTCCTGTGAAAGGACCTATAAAATCGATTTTTAATCTTCATTGCACAATGTGTGTTATATCTCCTAAATGTTTCAGGACCAGGTATGTCTTGTAACTAACTGTTGGAGCTGATTAACAGGAGGTAGCGTCTCATGTTATCCACAGACTACGTGGCAGTTCACTTTGTTCTCCATGTAGCTTTTATGAACAGATGCTTGTGAGCCAGATGACTGTTTCCCAATGTTTTGCATGCATTATTTTTTAAAAGGCTTAACAAACTGAAAATATTAAGTACAAACTGAATGATTTCTT